TACCAGGCGGCCGAGCTGCAGGTCATCATGAACAGACTGACGCGAGACTTGAAGCTCTCAAAGATTCCAGCACAGGATCTTATTAAGGTATCGATTTAGCTGCTTTCTGCTATCAAGTGAATCTCACTAAACATCACCATTCCCCTTTCAAACCCTTTCTAGATTGTACTTCCCTCCAAAACGATCAACCACGNATTCTGCCATCAAGTGAATCTCACTAAACATCACCCATTCCCCTTTCAAACCCTTTCTAGATTGTACTTCCCTCCAAAACGATCAACCACGACCGAATACTGAACATTCTGCTGCAACAGCAAAATCAACCACAACACAAGCAGTGAAAGTTAAGTTAAGTTAACAGTTTATTGACGACATATTCAAGTCAGCAGTTCAAGTAGAAGTAAAAGTGCAGCACAAGTACATGCGATGCTCACCGAAGCTCATTTGCATTGAAGCTGATCGTCAAACGGGGCGAAACAGGGCGACAACACAAACCGCTTGAGAGGAGACGACAAAGCACTCGGCCTTCACTGAAACATTTTCGTAGATAGTGTCCCTGCTTTGGCACTATGACGTTATGACTTCACTGGTCGCTCGTGTTCTTGAATGTGTGGATGTTCAGTGTGTGTAATATATGAAAGGTTTATGTTGTTTCGAGGACAGCCAACATCTACGTCTCGTACTTCGCCTCGCACTCTCTCTTCAAATTCCGCCTGTTTCCATCATTGTTCCGTCTCCACATGAAGATGACCTATAAAGATCCTTGAAAAGAAAAACAAATTTTAAATTAATATTTAATCAACATCAAATGAATTTTACTATTCTGTTTTCTACCTGAACTCAAGAAGACTCACAACAGAAGAGACTCCCCCTGTACACAGCAGTTTCATCGCAGTTATACACATTCCATCCATTCATTTAAAACATTGCCTCCGTTACCTGAAAATCCGCCTTTGCTCTCTCTCTCTCTCTCNTGATCTCTCAACTAGAGATATATTTTCATTTGGGAGCCTTTCCTTTCTCTCTCTCTCTCTCTCTCTCTCTCTCTCTCTCTTGACCATATGATATCTTCCTTCTTCCAATCCCTCTTCGCTTCTGCAAGTTCTATCTCCCATTTCTTTTTGACCTTAGAAATCAAACTCATTCTTCCTTTCGTGCTTATTCCCCTCTTCCCCCAATGGGTGCCTACCTTTTCCTAGCTAACCCAACCAATTACCCGCTCCTTGGAATCCCTCTTTCTTAAACCCTTTCCCTGACCTCCTTAAGCTTCCTTATTCCTCCCTCTACAATCCTTTCTTCCTTCCTCCCTCCCCTCAGCTAGGTACCCAACCTCTCACACTCCTTCAGGCCAAATGTATGCGCAACAGCAGTTCTTTCCCAGATCCTCGTCACTGTCATGCAAACCACAACCCAAATAATGCCCTTAACCTAAACACGCGCAACTCTCCTCTAATCAAATATATTTTAAAAGTCACCCAAAGCTGCATCGATTAAAACGAACAAAACCTATTTATTTCTCCTTCTCTCCTCCTCGCCAATGTAAGTGTTCCCGATTGCTTTTTTAGTTACCCTCATCCGGCACTGATCTCAGACTTCTTCCCACCCACACACATTGCTTCCACTTCCCCCACCCGACACTACCGGGTATCCCATTTAACTTACGACCTTACTCTTTCATCAACTGGTTTCCCTCAGTAAAATCCCTCTTCATATTCTTAGGTCTTTCCTCTCTCTCTCTCTCTCTCTCTCTCCGCTTTTTCCATTGTCTCCCCAGAACATTCCTGTGATTCTCTTCTTATCTTAATTTTCTTTTTCTCTTATTTCCTCTTTATGCAAGATTATTTTCTAATTTCAATGCTATACACCAAGAACCGTTAACAAAAGCTTCAATTGTTATATACATTCTCTATACATTTCACAGTAATAAACATTTTTGACCTCTTCAAACGCCTACTTTCTAAAACCCTCATAAATAATTAGCAAGAAAAAGTTGTAAAGCCAATTGTAGCCAATTTTACAATCTAGGATAAAATTGGTCGTTCTTTATGGCATTTGGGTTTTGCTTTTGGAGAATTGTATCAGCGAACCGAAGTAATTGAACTTGACTCGAATTTCGCTTTCTTATTTCTCCGTAAATGGAAGCGAAAAAAGAAAACATTTGGTACTTACATTTTTCGTGTACTGTTGGCTCGCATAAGTGTTTTTCGGCAACAGTACATGGAGAAGCAGAAGTTGAATGGAGTAGAGTCAATGCTGGCAGAAGTTTTTTAGTCATGTCAAAATGACTTCACTCGTAAAACAGTGGATTTTTCCGCATGCTACGGCAGGTATCGAGCATAGTCGGCAAATAGAGTTGATTTGTGGATCGAATTGTCCCAAAATCGTTGCACAGAGTGAAACCAGGCACGTTCAGTCGTGTAGGAGATAGGTCGGGATTGAGAATCAGTCAGCAAAAGATTTCTAGAGGGAGGTTTCAAAACTGTTGCCAGTAAACGCTGCTCGTCAGTGATAAAGTCAATGTTCACATTGGGACCGAGCATGGCCACAATGGTGTTTTTGAGCAGTTGAAGCATTCGATTGTGTGAAGCTGAACGTTGTGGTGTAGGTGAGTTGATTTTAAAACCAGAAGAAAATGTCTGTCCCTGCTGTTCAATGTCTTTGCTTTTTTTGAAAGAGGCTCCTGGTGCAGTTGATTTCGATGGAAGAGCAAGTGACACCTGCTCCTGTTTTGGTTTTAGATAGATAATCAAGTTCGCTTTAGGCACAGTTTCGCCAACCATCATTAGTGAGCTTGCGACCAGTTTTAGGAGGTAAACGTCCAGTGAATGCGAATCCAAAACAAGAACAAGATGATCACAAATGGAAAACATGAAGGTAAGCAGTTGCATCGAGTAGATGTAGGAAAAGTTTTCAGGTTCAGTGATGTCAAAGCCCATCACGCTGGAGAGAGAAAATGCACCGCTGCCATTCGCAGTGTGATTATGGTGATGATGGTGGTGGTGATTAAAGTTAGGGCCCCCAGAGGTAAACATTGAAGTTCCAGTGCCAGTGTTGCGCAGAAACTCGTCGAGAATAGATGCACTTAGCAGTGGCTGCGGAAAGAAAGACAAAATTAGTTTTCCAAAATCTACTGAACAACAAAAAGTGCTTGTACTTGGGTATCAAGAAGAAAGAGGCGTTCTGCTGTGATATGCAAATCAACTCCGTTGGTGACATGTGAGAGTGGATTGTCCTGACCGCTGTTGCCCCCTTTGTTAGCAGTTGAAGGAGCGGTCATGTTTCGCCGATCTTCAACAACGTTGCAATGCGTTTTGAAGACATTTCGGTTGGCGATAGTGTTCAGCAGAGTTGACTTTCCAACGCCGTCTAGTCCAACTGCTCCAACAATGCAGAAGCTCTGGCCACTGGGGGTGGTGGGCGATTGATTTGACGATTGGCCGTCAGACAAGAGACAACGTTCTAGAACGTTGGTGTCCTGAAGATTGAAATCGCCGTCTAATAATTTTGTGCAGTTGAATAGAAGTTCACGTTCGCGATAATCCGCTGATGGGACAATGTGCATACGAGCCAGTTGCTTCTCGAGGATGGAAACTGAATTTGAAATTGACGGCTTACAATTTTGGCGATGGTGGGCAGTGTTGGCAGTAGAGTTGGTACTGCCACTGTTACCCGTTTGTCGACTGGTGACAGTGACAGCATCAGCAGGACGAGGCACAATACCAGCAACTGATTGTCTATTCGCTACTATAGTGGTTGGAGTTTTGGTAGCATTTTGCGTTTGAGCTATTTTGTTGTTTTCCTGAGCAGCAGCGGCAGCATTGGAAGAAGCCGCGCTGACAGCACTTGCGCTCGGTCCCTGGGGCCTGTTGTTGTTAGACTTTGCCAATATTTTGACGGCTGGAACTGCTGGAGCAGTTGTTGAATCTGCTTGATGGTGGAAGCTGTTTGGTGTTGGTGTAAACTGCCTCGACCGCGTTTGCCGGTCAAAGTGATCGTATGCATTGTTGGCGTTGTGGCTTCCATGCTGCGTCCGATTCGGCTTGACCACTCGTACTTGCTGGTGGTGGTGGTACGTGGATGTTGGCTGTGAAGAGTGGTCCATCACATCGAGGCAATGCCGTCCCATTGACCGCAAGGCCGTGCGTTCCTTGCTGCAGCAGTACAACAATCAGGCAACACAACACAGCTGCATGTGATCGCTCAGATGGTGCGGCTGCCCAGTATCCATGAGGAGTGATGGCAATGGAGGCAAAAGGAGCGGAATATTATCTTCCTAATCGTCTCAGAAATGTAATCACGTGGAGACTTGTTGTAGAGCAAGAAGAACGAGTCACTTTTGCGTACTGGAACACCCAGACAGTTTATAAGCTACAGGGAAGATTGCCACTTCTGTAAACTCATTTTTTGCCTGTCACCGGAGGGACAGTTGGTGGTCGTGCTGCCCCTTTTCTCTGCAGATGTCTGTCCAGCTCAGCTTGTCGCAGTGCAACCGTTGCCCACTGAAAAAGGTCACGTGGTACCATGTGTCCCACCCGACACAGGCAAAAAATTCGTCTTTTAAGGCGACACCTGCCTGACTGCTGAGAAAGTCGAGCTATTTATGGAGAAAAATAAACGTCTTCAGAAGATTGTACAAGTGCTAATTGATGACGATATGGAGTAAATTAATTTACCTAGATTCTCAATCTTTGTTGTAGTATGCAAGGATTCTTAAACAGTTTTGATGTCAGCTATGATCAGAGGTTGTCGCCGACGCTACGACGGGATTCATGTCCACAAAACAAATCATATCGAGTGCACATTCGCAAATGTCGTAATTTTAAGTAACGTCAACGTAAATACGTGTTTTCTCTTTTCAGCTCTTTCATCATCATCATCATCTGACACCGGAACAGTCGCCGCCTGGTTTGAACCATGTATTTACTTACAGTTTTTGTGTATTTCAATGACCCCAACTAACACTTGTCTTGTATCCTCTGTAGAGTGCATCATCGGCTACAATGAACTCGTACTCGGATAATAAGAACCAATCTGATTTCTGGTCTAACCAGACATATGACTTTGGCTCATTTGACTACAACAAAGCCGGCGAGCAGAGCAACTACTCGGGATCATTTTACCCACAACAACCGGCTGGTTTTGCGCCGCCCGCCAATGCTGCCATTCCTGGAGCATATGACACTTATGGAAATGGTGATCCGTACGCTGAAGAGCCGCCGCTGCTGGAAGAACTGGGCATCAACTTTGAACACATAATGCAAAAGACAGTTGCTGTGTTAAATCCACTTAAACAGACTGATGCCAACATTCTTCAGGACGCTGATCTTGCTGGACCTTTGGTGTTTGGCCTTGCTTTCGGCAGTCTCTTATTACTCGCGGGAAAGGTGCATTTCAGTTATATCTATGGCTTCGGGGTACTCGGCTGTGCACTCATCTACTGCCTATTGGTTCTCATGTCGCCGCCAAATATCACATTTACCGCTGTTTGCACGGTGTCCATCCTTGGCTACTGTCTACTTCCGATGGTGTTCCTATCTGCAATCGCCATCTTTGTCAGTCTCAACACAATGCTGGGGATGTCTGTAGCGATGTTGGTCATTCTTTGGTGTGCATTGAGCGCTTCAAAACTCTTTGTCACGGCACTGTCAATGCACAACCAGCAAGCTTTGGTGGCGTACCCGTGCATTCTCTTTTACGGTGTCTTTGCCTTGCTGGCGCTCTTCTAAGATCTGAATAGACGCGTCAAAAGACAACTGTTGACCATCGTGGCCTTGGCAATCACACCGGCGAGATAACACAATTATATGTACAGTAATTAACTTTTACTTTTTTAATTCACTTGTGTAATGTTTTTCAAACTGAAACTATTTATTTTTTCAAAGCTATTAAAATGCTCCAAGTTAAGTTTTTTTTATCTTTATCGATGTGAACTTTTGTTTTCTCACTGGTCACATACTTTTGAATAAAAAAGATTTGTAATCATTGAAAGGCTCAACTTGACAGGCCACTTTCAACTCAACTTGGACTGTGACTAAATGCAAATGATTGCCACAGTGAATCCTGCAAGTAGAATGCCTTAAAAACTTGAGACAGTTTAGACGATTGAACTTTTTCGAATGAGTGGAAGTCTCGCCAGTGGAGACTCAGACTCAATCGGACAGCAGCAGCTCAAGCTGGAGCGCAGTTGAAAACAGTGTGACAAGCAGGAAGTGAAAGCGAAAGACGCAGCTTGGCAGCTTGAGCTGTGGACGCTGCATCAGATGCTGCCACAAGTCAACTGACTGGTCCGAGCAGAGTGCACTCTCACTGACAGTGAGTGTACTGTGACTCTCTGTGACTCCTCTTGACAGGTCGTGTGTCCCCGGCGCTCCTCGCCGCATCACACACACCATCGGTCATCGAAAGGAGGCGAGCTAAAGCTGGCGAGTTGCATTGCCCCTTCACCCGAAAGCTTCCCCTTTGCTAAGTCTTTGAGGCAATCGACCTAACACGTTGTGACATTTTCATTCACACTCGGACTCGATTGATTTCCTTTTTTTCTATTGCTCCTTTGACTTTTTTTTCTACAATTTCTAGCCAATGGGCACAGTGAACAGTGCCAGTGAAGTTTTAGTGCTGCCAACAGTGTCAAAATGAGTGGACCATTTCTGAATGCGACAGGGACGAGTCAATCGTGATTGGCGATTCGGTGGAAAATCGAATCATTTCATCCATCTAATCAAACAGAGAGAGTGTCTCTACGACTGAGTTTCACCGTCTACCGAATCATGAATCAGCCAGAGAAGAGAAGAGCCTGAGCACATTTGCAAGTTCAATGCCAAATGGCTTGGGAGTTGCCGCCAATCTACCTTGCCTGCTTTGGCAGCCGCAGCACACGCACTGTTCGGTGGCACTGCTGTGCACCCTCGCCACCGCAGAATCCAATTGAAAGTTTTTTATTTTAATTTTGCTTTGATTGACCTTGGACGGGAGGGGGTGGTGAACCTTTCCACACAGCACTGGCCAGCCATATGGCCGCTTTCCGGCCAGGTAGTGCTTAGCCAATCGCCAGATTGTACCACACACGATTCACATCAGCTAATTGTGAGTTCTGCACTGTGCAGTTGACCAGATGCCAGTTGGCTGCAGAGGCAGCAGCAGTGTAAGGGCACTGTAGCCTCAGTGGCTTCAGCTAATCAACTTTAAAGTGCGCCCACTGCGAAGGACTCGCCAGTGCTGTCGGCGGCAAGCGTGCACCACACCTAACAAACGCTTTGTGTGTCCAGCAGCCTCTGCAGGCCATTAGAGAGCAGTGTTCCTGGTGCCTCACAACTGGGCGCTGCAGATAGTGCGCCCAATTGACCGGGACTGCCAATCGCGAGCGATTTCATTACCTTAATTACTGCGCTCTTTTCAGTGATCTTTGCAAGGCAATTGAATCATCAGTGCTCTTTACTTAACTGTTAGTGCGCTGCTGCTTTTGCTGCGTTGCTTTCATTAGAGAAGCAGAAGAAGAAGAAGAGCGATCGGTGGTCATTGGCTAATGGTCTCTGCTGAGCTCGCTAATGATGGAACCAACACTATCGGGCACTATCAGTGCACTCCTCGCTTCGTTTGGACATGCAAATCGTCTGACTGTCTTTGACGTCTCTTCATTTCCCTCTTCCTCTCCTTCCATCTTTTCCTCCGTCCCCCGTCCTTCTTTGTTGGAAGACGACGACGGCAGCATTCGACAATTCCTCTTTGGACTGCAAACTCAATTTGCTGATAAATTATAAATGAGCAATTGAATTCTTGCTGCCTGGCTGAGTCCAATTAGCTTGCAGCTTGCCAAAGCCACTCTCCACTCGGGGACATTTTTTGTCGTTTCGTTGGTCGGTGCAGTGTTTGTCAGTGCTCGGAGAGAAAGGGGAGACTCGTTTGCTGCTGCTGCTGCTGCTGCTGATGTTGAGCTGCTGCTTCTGTCGGCCGTGCCAAGTTAGCCTGCAAGTTCCAGTGTCGGTCGTTGGCAAGAATTTGGAAATTAGAAACAGACAGACAGCAGTGTAGGGAAGTGAGGGCGAGAAAAGGGAGAGAGAGGAAGGGAGGGAGGGAAAGGGACCGTGGGGCGAGTGGTGATGGTGATGGTGAGCGGCCGAGTCGAGATGGACGGCGGACGGACGGGAATGCAAATGGATGCGGGCAGCGTCAGGACATGCAGCGAATGGCGGACACGAAGGGTACAGCGCCAAATTAGAAGGACCGAAGGAAGGGTAGTGAGATGGGCACACTCTCACTCGCACACATATACACAGACAGCCACTGGCAGGCAGTGAGAGAGAGAGAAAGAGAGAGAAAGCAACTCTTCGCTCTCTCTTCCACAGTGCCCGTGGTTCGCTTTTAATTTTTTGTCTCCTGTTCCTGTTCCCCCGCGTGAGTGCATGTGTAATTTAGATAGCTAATGCAGCCCGATCGTGCCATTCCATTTTTTGCGTCTCCCGAGCTGCCTCACCAAGCTGTTGGTTCCGTCGGTTGCTGTTTCGGCCGTGTGTGTGTGCGGAAAAGAGAGAGAGAGAGAGAGAGGCCGTCGTCCGTTCATTGGCGGCTCATGTGGCCTTGCAATCAGACCGACCATTGCAGGGCATCGTTAGCCATGGCCAGGCCAACAGCAGCCGCATCATCTCCAGCAACAGCAACAGCAGCAGCAGCTAGGCTTGCGCTTCTCTCCACCGAAGGCTCTTCTTCTTCTTCTGTGCTGTTTTCTTGCCAACAGCAGCAGCACTCGATCACTGAGATTGAGTTTCAATGAATTGATGGCCGCTCGCTGGTACAGTCAGTCACACGGACATATGAACGATGTGTTTGTCTTCTACTTTGCTCCATCGTCGAGCAACAGAGCCGCTGCCGAGATGCAGATGCCTGGAGTGCAGGAAGGGTGAAGTGCCTTCACCCAGCAACGGGCACCATGTGCTCGGTCGCCTCGGTCAGAGATGTGACGCTACCGAGGCTATCCCCTGACGTCCTCTCTTTACCCGACCAGAGAGGCAATACTGTGAATACTAACAAAAAGTGAGCAGATCGGATGGTGCCAGATCGGCCAATATAGTGGCCAATATAGATAGCAAGAAGACACACACACAATGGCTGGTCGCGGACAGTGGCGCCCAATGCCCATCGGGATGCAACTCAGGGAACGACGGTCACATAGCCACTTTAACCCTTTTGCTATGCTATTACTGCTAAATGCACTGCTTCCTAGCTTTTCAAAGCCGAAAATCTTTTCCTACAATCGAATTTACAGCTGAATGAAGTATGAAGATAATTGAGGTGCTTCTTCTGCAGTTGGCCTCTGAGTAGATGCGGGCACAATTGTCTATCTTTACGCGATTTCATTTGCCAGCATCAGCGATTTTCATCTGTCCGATTTTCATGTGGAAGGGGTGCAGGCGTTGCGTATTTAATCAGTGACGCGCAAAATGCATAAAACAAAGCTAACGGCAAACTGCTTGACTGAGACAATCAAGCTGTGTGAGAAGAGGCACAAGCTATCACAAGTACCTATTACCAAAAAAACAGTAAGCAGCGAAACAGGTCATTCGCTTTGTTAAATGATGCTGATTTATCAAGGGTACACTCTAAAAAATTTTAGATAGATTTATTTAAGAAAGTTTTAAATCTTAAATCTATTTAAGAAATCATGCAAAACTAAATATATTTCTGATGATCCTAAATAGATTTTGGAAAAAATTTAGATAGATTTATTTAAGAAAGTTTTAAATCTTAAATCTATTTTAGAAATCACACCAAGCTAAATATATTTCTGATGATCCTAAATAGATTTTGTATTTTGTAAAACATTACAGTCTTTTTATTACACTCCTTTTGCAAATTCATACTGCTATTAAAAAATACTTTTTTAATTAATAATAATAATAATGAAAAACTAAACTTTAAAAATGAAGTTACAAAATGAAGTTATAATTCTTGTTCTCCGAACTTCATCTTCTTCGCCTGGCGTGGATGATCTTTGTGACTTTGCTTCATTGATTGACTTACAAGTGGTTTGCGCAGTGGAACTTCTTCTCGGTCTTGATCATTCTTGGCTTTGTATGAATAGTCCATACGAGAAGAGACCTTGCAAAAGAAAAATTCCTAAAAATAATCTTTAGTCAAACTTAATTGTAGCTCAAATAAACATTACCATAAAATGCGAACGATTGGGAGAAGTTTTAGTTCGGGAACAATTGAGAGTTCCTTGCTTGTACTGGAGTTGAAAATCTGCGTATTTAGAAGCGAGTTTGGGAAAATGAACTGCAACAGTTGCAGACAGATGATGGCGTTCAGTAGAATGCATAAGTCTGGTTTGTTTGGGTTTTTGTTTAGTCGAAAAATAGGTTTCAATTTGCTTCACACAGACATCTGCAAGACCATTGATGTTTGAGTTAAAATCCTTCCAACTTGAAGTTTCTAAATTGTCCGTATACCACTTTAAAAATGGCGAGCTGGCAAGAAATAACTTTATATCAAAGTTAGAACAGTCAAAAAAGACATTTTTAAACTGATCTTCATTGTGAACTTTTACAATCCACTTGGGAAGAGGTAAATTTGCTTGATTGCTTGTGGCATCTATGTTAATAAAGTAATTTTCGTTAACATAAGTAATAGGATATTATAAAAACATACCTTCATTTGGAAGAGAAAGAGAAGTGCTCGGAGACGAAAAATAGGTTTCTGAGTTGTTACCATCACTAGTAGATCGTAATTCAGT